GCACACCAAAGTAATATACCAGAACAGCAACTACACGCATCTTAAAATTGCAGAAGCAGTTTTAATCGACATCAATAAACCAAAAATAAATATACAATAAAAAATGACAACCTCACATCCAACCCGGCGCTTAACCAACAACGAAAACAAAGAAGTAATAAAAACTAGCATCGTAAATAGTGAAAAAGAAGAATATGATGCTATCGATGAAGAAAAGGAGACCAAAGAAGATGACCAGCCAATTAAGAAACCTGACACCTAATTCGCATCAAAGTTCAATTTTACAACACCAAAGTTAATTTTTACAACGTCACAGTTAATCTTGACAAATTCAATATTTCCCTATATATACAGCAAGGAGCACTGACGATGATTCATTCGGAATCGAAATATGGCCTTATTTGCAGCATGAATTTGAAAAATAAGTTTATTTTGAATTTTAATAAACTAAACGTTCACCAAAAAACTTTAGTGAGAAAAATCGAAAAAACGAACTACAAACATATTAACGCCAAACATTCGGTAGAATTTATAGAATATTGTAAAAATTATGGTCTATTACCAACGTATTCATAAATATAAATATATGTATATATATTGTGTTTGTTTTGTATGTATGTATGTACGCATTGTCTGTCCTTCCAACAAACAAACACACACACACACACACACACACACACACACACACACACACACACACACACACACACACACATATATATTTACAATATTCTATAAATTCTACCGAATGTTTGGCGTTAATATGTTTGTAGTTCGTTAAATATATATATATATATACATACAAACAATGCATACATACATATATACAATACACACACACATGTGTATATTTACACTTACGCATATCAACAATAATCATTACTAATTTTAATACATGTCTCCATTTCTCATCGCACTAACACGTTGAAAATTATTTAAATTAATTAATTTCCTAAATCAAAATTTTAAACTAACAAAATTTGATCAATTATTTCGTTTGTGTTTTTATTTGTTTTGTTGTTGTGAAGTTTCGCGTGTTGGAGGATCAAAGATTGAAGGTTGGTTGCTTACTTTAATTTTTTATTCATCAAAAACTTGTCTTAATTTATAATCCTTTTTTCTTACATGCTGAAATATCTCAAAACCCCATTTCTGTTTTTTTCATTTAAGTTAATTTTCATCAACTAAGTGGTTCGGTGATTTAAAATCGACCTCCAAATCTTTTGAGAGCAAATCATCAAATGCTCTGTTTAAATCATTTGCAAGTGAAGTGTAATTTAAACGACGAAAGATACGACGGCAGTTATGGATGATTGTCGATAATGACTTGAGTAGCGTTGAGTTAAAGCACACAATGTTGTGATCTGAAATAACACAATCATTGACGATTAGGTTATCTACAATGTTGTTGTTGGTATGAGTGATTGCGAGGTCCAACAAATTGCCACGTACATGTGTAGAGGAGCTGACGTGTTGAGTGAGATTGAAGGATTCTAATAATGACCAATACCCATGAGAGGTGCTGGTGCATTGAAGTCGCCGCAGATGATAATCGGTAGATTATGGCCAATGATGAAATCTAGATGATCGGTAAAATCATCAAGAAAGCTTGTTGAAACAAGACCGGGTGGCCTGTCAATTGATGAGATAATGAATGTCGACGAAAGAGTGTTAAATTTTACTGATAGGTTTTCAAAATTACAAAAATTGTACTATTGTTGATGGGTGTTGCCCTCAGTAAGTTGTTGTACTCGGCAGCTAAGCCACCACCACGTTTGTCACTGAAAGTACAATGATGAGAATGATAAACTGAGTAACCCAAGGGAGCCAAACTTTGTAGAACAACCCGTGAGACATCGGACGGTATCCAGGTTTCGGTGACGACGAGAATGTCGATTTTTTTTCACATACGATGAAGTCGTTCAGAAGAGCGGCCTTGTTGACAACGGACCTTGCACTTACATGCCCACATTTTAATTTGGCCAAGCGTTTCTTAACGCTGGATCTTTTTTCCAGAGCCGAAAAGTTATTGTAGATTGATGAACGTGTCAAACGCTATTTCCAAATGTTTAATTGATACATGATTTTTTACATATTCTAGGAATGCGGAGAGAATTTTTGGTGATAAAAAACAAAGAAGTTCTTCGCGAGTTCATTTAGTTGCCACAGCGAAAATTATTTGAAAAAAGCAACATATTGCGAGATGGACTAAACAAGTAGCGTTGAAAAATTTGATTATGATGACGTTTCTGAATTGTAGTCGTAGTTAAAATGATTGATGATTTGTAGATAAAAGAAAACCGTTGAAATTTGAAATTAAAATCGGTTACTATGACGACGATGATGAAAATTTGTTGAATTCATAATAAATTTTAAAACGAACTTTAATACAGCAACGAAATCTTTCGCAAATTTTGAAAACGTTGTCAGAAAAAATTAATTATTGCTTTATTGAAGGAAAATGAGCAAAACTTTAGTTCATAATGGAAAATTTAGTGATTGAAAAATCCACAACACAATATCGAGTCAGTAAACCATAGACATCGCAAACCCAGATCTCCATATAGAGGTTCGGTGATTTAAAATCATTTTATTTTTTAAGAGTAAGAATTGTTATCGTTAAAATTGTATATATTTATGTATGTATGTATGTGTGTATGTATGTATGTATGTATGTATGTATGTATGTATGCATGTATGTATGTATGTATGTATGTATGTATGTATGTATGCATGTATGTATGTATGTATGTATGTATGTATGTATGTATGTATGTATGTATGTATGTATGTATGTATGTATGTATGTATGTATGTATGTATGTATGTATGTATGTATGTATGTATGTATGTATGTATGTATGTTAAAACCAAAACATGATTGAGTGACACTGAACCGTCAAACATCAAGTAACAAATGGATTAACACTTTGGTTTGTCGTTAATTGCACATGTCGGCATTCAGTTGGATATTTTTAAGCACACAGACACGCAGGAACCGCTGCAACAAGCACGAAATGTGGTTAGTTGCGAAAAACAGTTTCCTGCTGTCGCCTGATCTGACGCTGATCATTTTACATATTGCCTTAAAAAATTTAAGGGTGTTGGGGTTCATCGGGCCGAGAACCTCGATACATATTGGCAAGAATTCCATCGAGGGGAGGGCGTTCTCATATTTTTTCATTTTCTCGTCCGCTGCCCTGGTCGCGGCCAAACCGCATTCCTTACTTGTCAGGTTTACATATCGTTCGGCAAGGGTGCCAGGGACCGTAACATCCCACGCCAAACATCTACCGGCTCTCCAAGGTATTAGTGTGCATCCGTCCGGGCGCCTACCATCATGCGCAGAAATGCCGGATGGTTCCTTGAGAACTGGGATTGAAGCCTTGGAGAAAAGCCGACAAATGTAGTCGTTTAATGCTGAGTGACGGAGTTGACGGCCCCCACCCAGGCGACAAACCAAACCGTGGTGCCCAAACTCGTCCGCCCCAGCGCCACATCGGCACGTGTATTTATTTTGAATGACCAGGCCAAGTCTGAAGCCAATGGCAAATCTCACAGACTGTATGTATATATGTATATATGTATATGTATGTATAGCAGGATTAAATAAAAAGTGATGATATTAAATTATTAACAATCTGAAATTGGAGATGATGTTGTCAACGATGACGACCTTAATGGAAATGCCGACGACAAAGATGATAACCAAAAAGACGATGACATGACATCCGTGACAGTGCTTGCTGATGCTGGCGGTGATGATGAAGATGATGATGAGAGCAACAACAATAATGCTGATGATGTTAGCGATGACCGCAGTGATGAAAATAATAGTGAAGGTGATAACGAAGGTGAACGTTACCGGAAGTAATTAGGACCGCGATGATGTTGATGATGATACTTCGGGCGAGGTCAGAATCTCCTGGCGAGGTCAGAAATAATTCCTCAAATTTGTCACTAAGGTTACAGATACTATAAAAACACTAATCATCCTACGACGACGGTGATGATGATGATGATGATTGTGACGATGACCATGATTATGACGATGACCATGATTATGATGAGGACGACGATGATGATTATGATGATGACGACGATGATGATGATTATGATGATGATGAAATTTTTTCTGGGAGTCAGAACACGGAGTCGAAGTTGAAGTTGGAGGTCGGAATTTTTGAGGGGCTGGATTCAGAATTAGAATCGGATATTTTTTATCCGACTCTGACACTCTGGTTATGATGCTGATGACGATGACGATGATGATCAAAGTGATGATAGTGTTGATTGTTGAACATTTAAGATACGGAAAATCTTCCGACCACAGTGAAAGTTTCAAATCCCATCCCATTCACGCGCTCACTAAACTGAGAATTTGTAATTTACTTCACGAAACATTTCAATTTCGAAACCGAAAATTATTATTTTTATTTTTAATGTAAGAATATTTAGTGACAGAATAAATACTTCATGTCACCGTGTTTGCATGACCACAAATGATGATTAGGCGATATGATAATATAATATTTAACATTAGTATTTAATATTTATAAATAATACTTTGTACGTCAAACTTTTATTAAAATGTAATTTAATTGTTAAAGATGTTTCTTCGTTAATTAAATAAAAGTTAATTAAATGCATCCTCTATAGAGCCGGCAACAAAACCATTTGTTTGATTAAACAAATAGTTCATTAATGAGAAAAGTTGAAAATTCAGTTAATTCAGTGTCTTTAAAGCGAAGTTTGCCGAGACGTTCGTAACGATTATATAGCGTCGAAGCTTTTAATTTCAGCGGTGAGATGAGACTTCACAAACATGCAATCAAATTTCGTTCCTTGCAATTTATTGTCTAATTGAAACCAAGTTTCGAATAATATTCCATTTTAACAGTTCCTACTAACTAACTTAAATAACTGTTGTAACTAACAAGTCCACAACGGATGTCGGAATCAAATTTTTTTTACAAATTTTTTCTTCTCTCAGTTTTGAA